ATATTCATAAAGAGTTTCTTCTTGGAAGTAGATTTCTGCAACACTTGTCTAGTTTATGTGCTTCCTTTGGCTCTTAGTCCTATCATTATGATCAATTGTGAACAGAAATTGATCATTGGGACTAGGGAGATGGCATTGGTACATGCCACCTTGATGGGATTGAATTGGAATCCCTTGGTATGTTTCTAACTCTACTGATTGGGGTAAGTCAGCTTGAGCATGTCCCGAATTACACATCTCTTCCCTCTCTTATTCCCACTCTTACATTTAACAGCGATCACTTTTCAGTTAATTTTCAACACTTAAGAATAACTGTGTATTGATTACAGTATTCAACCAAAAGTATTAAGTAGAACAAACAAACAAAAATACTAAGAAGGATAACGTATTAAGTTGTTCATCAACAGTCAGGGCAAGGGCTGATCAAGTCACCGTTTCTCATAGTGTTCATTTCACTTTAACAGGTTTCCTTTTTGGTGCTCAGTTAGTTGTCACCGATCAGGGAGAACATATATTTGTCCCTTTGGAACTGGCTTATTTCACTCGGTATAATGTTTTCCAAATTCCTAACAGGGATCACTTTTCAGTTAACACTAAACACCTAAGAATAATTGTGTGTTAATTACAGAGTTCAACCAATAGTACTAGAACAAAAAAAATACTAAAATGGATAAAGTATTACATTGTACATCAACAGTCAGGACAAGAGCTGATCAATTCACTGTTTCTCATAGTGTCTATTTCACTTCAACAAGTTTCCCCTTTGGTGCTCAGTTAGTTGTCGCTGATCAGGGACAACATATGATATTTGTCCCTTTAGGACTGGCTCAATTCACTCAGCATGATGCTTTCTAAATCCCTCCATCTTGTTGCAAATGATCGGGTTTCATTGTTTTTGACTGCTGTATAGTATTCGATAGAGTACATGTCCCATAATTTCTTTATCCAGTCTACTGTTGATGGGCATTTAGGTTGGTTCCAGGTCTTAGCTATTGTGAATTGAGCTACAATAAACATTAATGTGCAGACAGCTTTTTTGTTTCTCAATTTCATTTCCTTTGGGTAAATTCCAAGGAGTGAGATGGCTGGGTTGAATGGTAGGGTTATCTTCAGGTTTCTGAGGAATCTCCAGACTGACTTCCATAGTGGCTTAACCAGTTTGCATTCCCACCAGCAGTGGGTTAGTGTCCCTTTTTCCCCACATCCTCGCCAGCATCTGTTGTTGGTAGATTTCTGAATGTGAGCCCTTCTAACTGGTATGAGGTAAAACTTCATTGTGGTTTTGATTTGCATTTCCCTGATTGCTAGTGATCTTTGGAGAGGTCCTCCATCCATTTGTTCACTCCACAAATGGCTCCAATGGCCAGTGCTGGGCTAGGCTAAAGCCAGGATCCAGGAGCCTCTTCCAGGTCTCCCATGTGTGTGGCAGGGGCAGGGACCAAAATGCTTGGGCTAACTTCTGCTGCTTTCTTAGGCCATTAGCAGGGAGCTGGATAGGAAGTACAGCAGTCAGGACATGAACCGCCGCCCATATAGGAAGCCAGCATTGCGAGCTGCAGCTTTACCTGCACTGCAGTTCCACCCCTCATTAACTCCATTTTAAAAGTAGGGCACACTCCCATATACCAGGACGTTTGGTGACTGCTTTATGGTAACAAGAGTATTCTCTAATAAATGTAGATGTAAACAGCATATAAGAAAATATTGTTTTCTGTAGCATTGCTTGGGTTCATGGCTGAGGTCTCTATAAAAACAAAAAAGATTCACAACAGAAAGGAATAAAAATTCAACTCAAGTAAGTTTCATGTTATAAAAAAGCTGTCATAAGAGAAAGAAAACCTGAAAAAATGGATTGAATTTAATCAATCACTGTGTTCTGGGGTTAGGTTTGCTGAATGACTGAATAGAGGGAATGAGACTGGATGAGAAAGGAAGATCTGGGGTGACAATCTGAGTGGAAGTCAGTGTGGCCAGTTTGTTCACATCCCTCTGTGTGACTGCATCTTCAGAGAGAGGAGGGTCCTTTCTGGGTGCAGGGAGGGCACTGCTCACTGAAGTCCTTTTTCCTACTCAAGAGAAGATTAGAAACCCCTTCCTAAATTTCATGATCCAATTCAGAGGAGAAAGGTGAGGGGAACATAAGTGTGATCTGATTCTGTGTTCTCTAAGGTCAAGGTACTAATGTTGGGGATAGCATGTCCTAAACTCCTCTAACACCAAACTTTTCCCCTTCCAATGGGATTCGGCACATTCATGGGGTTGCACATGGTATACCTAAGTGGCTACAACACATGTGACAGCAGTTGTGATTCCTCACAAAGTTCCCATTACCCCACCATCCTCCTCCCCATGCAAATCAACGTTAACCCAAAAAGTCAATTGACCCAGGAAATCACAAATAGTTCCAAGTCATTACTGTGGATTCTGGACAGGATATGCTGCTAAATGCTAAAATTCTTCCTGCTTTGCCTTTTAAATTAAAAAAAAAAAAGTTAGATGATTTCGAAATGATTCTAAACACAAAACTTGTGTGAGAAGGCTTAAAAAACTCATGGAAATTATCATTTCATTTTCCCACTAACTTCAGGTATGATTTTCTGTGAGAAGAACCTGGAGTTACTCTTTACCTCCTAGCATCTACCTCAACCACTGGCTTCCAAAATATATATAAACCTAAGGATCTGACAGGCACTTTGAGAGGGTAGGCTGTGGGGCTCTGCACTGTCGGGCACCTCTCAGCTCTCTCAGGATGAGCAGGGTGTGCACTGGGCTGTCAGAACATCCTCCTGCCTTGCTGGCCAACACTGCACCATTCTCCAGTTTCGAGGGAACTATGCACCTTTCCCTATTTCTGCTGTGTCGGTCCAGCCAGGTCTGTCAGGAATTCCAAACACAGAGGGACACCTCCAACTTCAATCCGATTTTGCATACCACAGAGGCCTGCTTCCATCCTAATTGAGAAAAGTTGAGTTTAATAGTTGGAGTCTAAATTAGGACTCACTCATTACATGATTAATGTACTTTAAATAGTGAGTGGATTGTAATTCCTGAATTTGTTGGCACTACTCCTCCCCATTTAAGCTTTGTGAAGAAGAAAATAAAACTATATAGTAACAAACTATGTGATTCATGAAATCTTACAGTAATCATTTCCATATTTTAACCATATCAGATTCATTTTTGGTCCCTTGAAATGAAGAACACATTCTAAGTCCCTGAACTTGGTTCATACTCCCCACAGCCCTCTCCAACAAACTCAGAATCTCTTAACTCCAAATCATGAACTAGGACATTGTTAAAAATTGTGACAAAGCAAACATGACATAAAATCTAACTATTTTAACCATTTTCAAGCATAACTTTTGGTGACACTGACTACATATGATGTGGCATGTGTATTTTAATTTTTATTCCAGGCTCTTGTCTTGCACAGAGGCAAGCATTCTATGTGCAGACATGTATAAGTTGCCAGTGATAAATTTTATTCAAAATGGCAAGAAAGTCAACACACATACATGCATGAGTGTGGGTTGCCCAATATGGAGAAATACCTACCATGAGTGGGTAGTTGGCCAGAGGACTGCCCAAAGGGAGGAAGCCTTGAGGAGGGGAGACAGAGCACCTGGAAGCACTCCCAGCCATGGTCACTGTTGAAACAGAGAGCCCCTCTCTGTTTTTGGCCTCTTTTATGAGGAAGGGTGTGGTTCTTCCATATTTATGAAGCCACCTGGGAATTACATGGCACCTCTACAAGTTGCATGTGGAACTTCAATTGGTCTTTTCATTTTCATGTAGGTCCTGGATAAAGCAAATACAACCTGGGAAAGAGAGATTTTTGATTCATAAGTAAGAATTACGCATGGGGGCCTGTGACTTCCAGCTCAGCAGACCTAAACTAGCAACCTGCCTCCTTATTCCACATTAGATTCACTTCATTATCATATAAATGATTTTAGTCCAATCTTTGAAAAAGAAATTCCAGAATCAAAGAATCACAATTTGCCAAATAAGAGCCCCTAATCTTGATTAATTTTGCTACAATTCTTTGAGTGTTGCGATTGCAGGTTTCTTTCATGTTTGTCCATCTTCACTTTTTTACCAGAAAAAGTCACATGATTCATATACTCAAGATCACATGAAGCATATTATCAATGCAGTTCAGGTTGAAAAGGCTCTGTCATAGTATGGTAACAAAATTCTCTCAGTATCAGACTCTAGAAGTCATGTATAGATGGACTCATGAGATCCAGTTTTGGCAAAACTTGGAAGGATTCCCTTTTGACCTTCAGCATAAACATAAAGGCTCTAACCAGGTGCTACTTACCACTGTTAGTGTGTCAAATATATGGTAGTCTAACTTGCGTACCTTTGTCAAGAATTAACCTTTTACCTCTTGAGTCTTCACAGGTGCAAACAGAGGATAAATCTTCCTACTCATGTGAGCCAATTAAAGACCTCATGTACCTCTTCAAAAAGTAAATAAGTAAAGCCTTTGCTTTTTCCCCAAGAAGAGTGTTGCACTTTATGGCAGACATGTTTTTCCTACCTCTTCCAATTCTCTCAGAAAGATGCTGTTGGCACGAAAACTTCCTGGTGAGTAAATAAGAGCTTTCTGCACCCCCATGTTTATTGCAGCTCAATTCACAATAGCTAAGACATGGAATTAGCCTAAATGCATATCAACCAAAGACTAGATAAAAACTATGGGATATGTGCACTATGGGGTACTACACAGTGGTAAAAATGAAATCTGGTCATTTGCATCAAAATGGAAGAATACTTAGTGATGTAAGCCAGTCCTGATGGGACAAATAGCATATGTTCTCACTGATTTATGAGAAGTAATAGAGCACCTAAAATGAAATCTGTATAAGTGAAATTGACACTTAAAAAAGAAGCTGCCCTTATCTTGACTTATAAGGAATAGTTTTTTGTTTGTTTTATCATTTTTTTCTTCATACTATTTGTTGAACTCTTTTCATACTATTTATTGAATTTAATATATGTGTATAAATTCAATTAAGGTTGGATCTCTTAAAAAATAGGAGTGGGAAGCAGTCCACATAGCAGACCCATAGAATGACAATCACTTTAAGTAACACTCTGACTTCAGAATCAGCCCTTAAGTCATCCTGGTCTAGCTGAAAACTCATGAACATTTCTGGCATGGAAAGCCAAGACGCTGTGGCAAAAATATTCTACATAAAGGATATCTGTGAGTGAGACCCCAGCAAAAGTAAGTGGCCATCAAAGAAGGATGTACTTTTAAGGGAAGAGAGAACTTAGGATTTGTATACAGCCTTATCTAAATACTGACAGAATTTTTGATTTCGAGAGGCTTGCATAGCCAAGGTAACTAATGTCAAGAGCCTTGGGTGGTCACTGACATACATAAGAATACTAACTCCCCATGCATGACCTCTACCTCAATAAGTGTATTATGAGAGTTAACTGTAAAACTAATTCTCAAACAGTTGTTTTGTGTGTGTGTGTGTTTGCAAATTGTTGAAATATTTACTTAGTATAAAAATTGTTCTTCTGTATACAAAGTTAATTGAAAATGAATCTTAATGGGGCTGGAACTCGGAAGGGGAGAGGCAGGAGTAGGTAGGGTGGAGTGTGGGTGGGTGGGCAGGTATGGTGGGAAGAATAACTATATACCTAAAGTTGTACTTAGGAAATTTGTTAAAATATTAATTAACAAAATATAAAACATTTATTTATTTATTTGAAAGGTAGAATTACAGAGAAGCAGAGGCAGAAAGAGAGAGAACTCTTCTATCTGCTTGTTCATTCCCCAGGTGGCCACAATGCCCGGAGCTGTGCTGATCTGAAGCCAGGAGCCAGGAGCTTTTTCTGGGTCTCCTGTGTGGGTGCAGGGGCCCAAGGACTTGGGCCATCTTCAACTGCTTTCCCAGGCCATAGAAGAGAGCTGGATGAGAAGTGGAGCATATGGGACTTAAACTGGTGCCCATATGGGATGCCAGCACTGCAGTTGGGGGCTCTACCTGCTAGGCCACAACACCAGCACCACTCTAACTTTTCTCAGGTTATTCCTCTAAGTGGATTGGCATCAGATGTGTGTCTGAGGTAGAACTCAAAGTGACCCTCCGGAGCACCATGTGATCAAGGTACCAGGCAAGGGCCCACTGTGCCCACTGACTTGTAGTTAATGGGCATGAGTTGTTCAGATTATGACCTCCAAAATTTTGTGTTCTGAGACCCCTGAGTTTATTGAGCAATTTTTCCTTCTGCTTACTTTACTGAGTTAGGTCCTGTAGAAGGCCTCAGGTAACTTAACTGGGTGAGATAGAAACTGGACTTGGTCAAGGTCAATTTAGATTTGATCATTAATAGCCCTAGATCCAGTTAGGAGAGCTCAAGTATTTTTACTCTTTTCTTTTTAAAAAGACATTTATTTACTTGTTTGAAACGAAGAGTTACAGAGATACGGAGACACAAAGAGAAAGATCTTCCAGCTGCTGGTTCACTCCCCAGATGGCCACAGTGGCCAGGACTGGGCCAGGCTGAAGACAGAGCCAGGGGCTGCTTCCAGGTCTCCCACATGGGTAGCAGGGGCCTAAGCTTTGGCTACCTTCTGCAGCCCTTCCCAGGCCATTATCAGGGAGCTGAATCAGAAGTAGAACAGCCAACACAGGAACAGGCACCCATATCTGATGTCACCATTGCAGGTGGCAACCTCACCTGCTACACCACAACACTAATGTATAACTTTTCTTTTGGTAAAGGGTTTGCTCTAATTCAAGGAACTGGAATTCCAGTTAGTTGTATATACCAAAATTATAAGACTAGAATGTTTGCATTTTTGGAAGAATTGGCTAACCTTAGTAGAAGTCATGAAAATTTAAATGTATATGAGGGAAATTTTCATTTGGATAAAACTGTTCACTTATCAGGCCCATTAGAAAGGAAGGAATAAAAACCACACAAAAACAAAGGGGTGCATTTTCTTTTTTAATATTTTAGTTTTTTATTTATTTGACAGGCTGTATTACAGACAGTGAGAGGGAGAGACAGAGAGAAAGGTCTTCCATCCGCTGGTTAACTCCCAAAACGGCGGCAATGGCTGGAACTGGGCCGATCCAAAGCCAGGAGCCAGGGGCTTCCTCCAGATCTCCCATGAGGGTGCAGGGGCCCAAGGACTTGGGCCATCTTCTCATTCTTTCCCAGGCCATAGCAGAGAGCTGGACTGGAAGTGGAGCAGCCAGGACTTGAACTGGTGCCCATGTGGCATGCTGGTGCTACAGGTGGATTATTAACCTCCTGCACCACAGCGCTGGCACCTGGATGCATTTTCAATTGCTATGTGGAGGTATCTCAATCTAGTGATGGTCAAATGTGCCTTTCTATAAACTCTTTACCACAGGTGAATGAAAAGATTAAGTGACGGACTAAGGGTATCACAAAACAATACTGTACTCTGACTGAACTGACTCTGGCTGCTCTTTCTATCCATGAGTACTGAGCCCAGTACTCAGAGCCCACTACTCTTTTTGCTCAGTTCCCTTTTCACCCAGAGGATAATTAAAAGGGGGAGATAGACAAAGGACCCAAGCACTTAGGCCATCTTCCACTGCTCTTCCAGGCCATGAGCAGAGAGCTGGGTCAGAAGAGGAGCAGCCAGAACATGAACTGGCATCCACAGGATATCAGTGCTGCAGGCAAGGCTTAGCCTAGTAAGCCACAGCCCCCCTGTACTCTTTATTGTTTAACTTCACCTTCTATAGATGCTTAATACCTGCTGTACTGTAGCAAACTCTCACTTGTGACTCACATCAGTCCTGCCCACCCCAATCCAATAATATTTTCTAAGATCAGTCTTGCAAAATAACATTTCATGGTGACCTGTGCCTGCTGAAGCACACAAGATACACTGCACAATGTGGGAAAGAGCAAGGGGTGCTTAGAGATGTAGAGGCAGAAGGAACAGGAAGGGGCAAAGTTTACATTACACATTCAGCCATGCTACCCTGGTGATTTTAATGCTGACCATCAGTGGACTGTGGGTGTCTGTGTGGGAGGCATCTTGTCTTTTCTCAATAAGAGAGATTGTTAGAAAAACTCTCAACCTAAGGCAGTCACCAAAATCCCCACCATGCTTTATATGTCTCTGTAGACTTCCTATGTGATACCTGGTTACTGTCCTATCAACATTCCCCACCTCCCTTCTGCTATTATCTTGTGTCCATTTCCCAAGTTAATTAGGCTGGGAAATATGTGACAGCCCAGCTTCATCACTTGTCTTCAAATGGTGTGTTAATTCCAGGGGGATGATTCTGGTAACTTGCAACTGAGCTCCCCGCGCCTTTGCAGTCCTGAAATTTTTTTATACAGGCAGAGTGGACAGTGAGAGAGAGAGTGAGAAAGGTCTTCCTTTGCCGTTGGTTCACCCTCCAATGGCCGCTGCGGCCGGCGTGCTGCAGCTGGCGCACCGCACTGATCCGAAGGCAAGAGCCACATGCTTCTCCTGGTCTCCCATGGGGTGTAGGGTCCAAGCACTTAGGCCATCCTCCACTGCACTCCTGGGCCATAGCAGAGAGCTGGCCTGGAAGGGGGGCAACCAGGACAGAATCCAGCACCCCGACCGGGACTAGAACCCGGTGTGCTGGCGCCGCTAGATGGAAGATTAGCCTATTGAGCTGCGGTGCCCACCTGCAGTCCTGAAAATCTTTAAAAATCTCAGCTGCAACACTGAGTACTCAAGTTTCTGTACAGCTGGAACCTCTAAATCCCACAGTCTGAGACCTGTGCTCTCCTCATAGCTGCCTCCGTGTTTTCTACGGATGAGCATCCTACTTTGGTTGGATATCTGATATTCACAGTTACCAAAAGCTTGGTCCCTGTCCCACTGTGCCAAATCAAAATAATGATCATGAGGGTTGGGCATGAAAGAAAGAGAACATTTAATTTGTTGACAGATGAGGAGTGGAGCAGACTTTCACCTCAAGAGCTATCTCCCTGTTCAATGAGAGTGTTTTAGGATTCTTGAAGGGGCTACAAGGAAGTGGAGGCTGGACTGTGAAATTGTGAAGGCACTCACAAGTCTCTGGTGCCAGAGTCCATGCCTTATACATGCCTTGCGTGCTTCACCCTTGGTATAAACAGGTAGTGAGATTACACTAGACCTAGATTAGAACACAAGTACGCAGGAAGCCAGAAGTCTAGCCACAAAGGACCTCATATTTAACTTTGGACAGGCTCACTCTATTTGAGAGACAGTGCTTTCATTTGCATATAAATATTGTAGGAATGTCCATGATTAGCCTTCCCACAATATCTGCTATCTAAATATAAAAAATGAGACATGGCTCCTGCTCTCAGGGACTTACACATGTGGCATGACTGCCTAGTCCTCATAGTTTAAAAACATTTTCATGGTCACAATTTGGAGTACTTAATGAAACAACAAAAGAGCTCAAAATAGAAATCTAAAATTGTATGAAATGCATAACACAAAAAACATCAGGAAATGATACGTGATCTATTTGAGCTCTGGTAAGAGCAGAGGAGACATAAAATTGTTCACAGGAAGGGGCCGGCATCAGGTTCTAGTCCCAGTTGCTCCTCTTCCATTCTAGCTCTCTGCTGTGGCCCAGGATGGCAGTGGAGGATGGCCCAAGTGCTTGGGCCCCTGCACCCACATGGGAGACAAGGAAGAAGCACTTGGCTCATGGCTTCGGATCGGCACAACGCCGGCAGTAGCGGCCATCTGGGGAGTGAACCAATGGAAGGAAGACCTTTCTGTCTCTCTCTCACTGTCGATGACTCTACCTGTCAAATAAAAAAAAAATGTTCACAGGAAAGTATACTAGAAACGCTGAAACCACATGAAAGGACAAGAAGTCAGAATAAAGAATTAATCTTGAAATGTAGATGGCTAAAGAATTTAAAAGAATAAGAAATGAGAGCTACCTAAACCAAATAAAGGCTACCATATACAATTTGGAGACTAAACCAAATTCATGTATAGAAACTAAAACATGTATAGAAGCAGATATGTATAGAAACAAAATTTCATGAACGAACGTTTAAAAAGAATAATCTTTTGACTTAATTATAGGAGATCAAGTGAGTGCATGATCCAGATACATTCAGTGGACACTCATGAGTGGGCAGAAATCCATAACATGGGTGCTATGTTGTTGGTTTCAGCTCAGAGTCAGGCAACAAACCAAGGGTCCACAAGCGTGAAGCTCTGCTGTGATGCAGCAGTGAAAGACCTGCCCAGGAGCACAGGAGAGGCCTGGCTGCTTTCCAGTGCTCTGGGCCAATCTGCCCTTCTGCCAATCTGCACAGGATTCATTCGCACCACTTTGTCACCAGCAGCAGACTTGTCTTCCAAGCCCCAACCTCCTAACTTTATCCTAGCCCTTAGAAAAGAGTGTATCTGGACAAAAGCACATCCAGTCCCAAGGGCAGAGGATGGCATTACAGTCTCATTTCTTCTCTTTGCTATCTGCCATGATCACTCTTCCACCTAGCCCCTGGGTTTGTGTCCCTGGTGGGAGAGGGGCTCCCCACTGCATCAAAGGCGAGGGGCACACACACACATCATAAGGGGCATTCTGTGATGCAATAACCTGGGGGGGTGGTGTAGGAGATAAAAGTGGGCGTAGTCTTAGGCATGTGTCCAGTTACTCATTTTGACGCTCTTTGGCCAGATGAGTAACTAGAAGCATTTTCGCAGAAAATGACAAAAAAGCTACCTCCGATTCTCCCGCGTCACCCCCAGCCTCACAGTCCTGCTCCTTCAGATTCCCGTTTTCCAACCTGCCTGCCTCACCTGGCTCCTCCCTCTGGCAAACCTAAGCCTGTCCTCCAGCACAAGAAGTCTTCAGCTGCCTACCCTGCCCGTCTCCCTGCTCTGACCAACAGCTCTTCCCACAAGATCATTCCTACCTCCAAGACCTCCCAGACCTCCAAGCGCACCCTGGCCTCTGTTCCCTCCAAGTCACCCACTCACCGCTCTGTTCGTCTGGCTCCCCTTTCCTGCTTCTCCTCTGTCTGGGCCCCGACTCCTCCTCCCAGCCCCTCTTATTAGGCCTCTGGACTCTGTTCTCCACTGATATTCACCCCAGCGCAGATCTTACCTTCTTGATGGGCCAGGACAGTTTGGAACCAATCTAGACAAGAGAGGTCAGTGACGTCTCAGGAACATGGCCTGATGGGGAAAGGGAGTGTAACATGAAGGCAAACTGAGATCCCTGTAGGACCCTTTCCATGGTGACAAGATCTCAGTAATCCTCCTGCTAACTGTATATCTCCTTCATCTTCAAATGCTCATTCTTTTCAGAATGAGAGGTACCAATAATGATGTCTTTTTTTCCTATCAGGCACTTCACATCCTCTCTGTCTATAAGAAGCCTTCAATCAGCTTCCACACCTGCAAGTGCCTTCCCTTGGGAACACAACCTGGGAACTCAGAGCTGACAGCAGGACTAGTGGCCCCTAAGGTAAGAGTGTGCAAGAGAATACCTTCAATCTGCTCACAGGAGAGAAAGCTGGTCTGACCTGGGTTTCTGTAGACAACTCTCAGGGTACCAGGTTGCTGTTATACACAGACAGCCAGGGTTTATTCTTTTTTCCCTCCACAAAAGAAGTTCACTGTGTTCTGATCTCAGCCTTTGAGGTTGAGTTCCCCTGTCGGCCACTTATAACCCGGCATGTGATAGGTACCACAGTCTAAATGGCAAGAGCTCACATTTCATTTAGTTGTATATGAATTTTTGGGCTATTCAACTCATAGCTTCCAGGTATTCCTTTTCCACACCCATGGAGCTTCACCACGTCCACAATCCTCTAGGATCGAGGAACAGACTCAGTCACACTCCATGCAGGTTTCTGGGCTCACGCTTTCTCCTCTCTGGTAGGTATACTGTGGCATAATGTTTCACTTTCCTCAGACTCTGTTATTCTCAACGTATGTCTCCAGAACACAGAAATGGTTCCATTCTCATACAAACTGCAGCCAATACATGTGCCTAGTGAACACTTGATGTGGCTAGAATGGCTGTGGAACTAAAGTCTAATTCATATTTGATTCATTTATTCATGTAGCTACCTCTGGCTGGCACACACTATTCTGGACTGTGCCACTCTAGACTGTGATGTTCTTCTTTGTAAGTGCCAAATGGGTGCCTGGCCTATGATGGGCAGGCAGCTACACACCAACATGAACTACAAGGCTGTTTTTCTCTAGTTCACAGGAATGCCTGAAGGCTCCAAGTCACGAGATGATACATGGAGGAACGTGCAGGTGGTGAGTCCTGGGGTCCTCAGTCTCACTGGGAGACTGCACAGAGGATGACACGGGCTTTACAGAGGACTGGGAAGCCTCTAAGGTTAGTAACACTGTGGGGTAAGTGTCAGAGTTCTCTGATTACATCCCCGAAACAAGAATCACCACACAGACTCAGAATATACTAACATAGTTACCCTAATGCCAGTTTATTAACTCATGTCAATATGACACTCTTATCCTCAACAATGAATTCACTCAGCAAACATTTAGATGTTTGATGCTATTGCCACATTGTCTTGGGTCACACTTAGATTAATGGTTAGTTACTAGCTCAATATATAAAGTTCAGTTTCATTAGTTTAAAACATATGTCTTAAATTCTTTTTACACATGAGGCTTAATTTTGAGGTTTCAATAATGTAAGTATTTAGAGAAGCATCTGGTACATGGAGCTCAGTAAATGTTATTATTTTCATTATTATTATTAGGGTATAATGATTGTAGATCACGGAGCTTCTGTCCTATAATAGAGAAGACTGAGTAATAAACACATTTTCATATAAGTAAGGTATAGGATTGTTGTGGCTGCAGCGCACAAACTGGGCATCAAGTCAGGGTGCAGAATTCTAGGAAGTCTTCCTGGTAGAGGTGATCACAAACAAGGCACAGCACTTCAGGTAAGTTACATAGAAAAACAATATAAAGAGCAACATGAGTGCTATCTGACGATGGGCAGCAATCTGCCAGGCCACAGTACAGTAGGGAGAGAAGGAGGCCTGTTTGGCAATGAAGGAAGAAGGATGTCTTTCCTGTGATTCCCTTCTTCTTGACCCCCACTACCATCAAGTAGAATCTGATGGAAGTAGAATGTTGTGTGTGGGTGGGAATGGGGAGAGGAGGGAGTCACAGGGTTGTGAAGGAGCAGCGTACAGAGGAGCAGATCAGGAGCAAAGGAAGTGAGGTGTTATCATGAGGGGACGCACTAGCTAGAGTAATGATACCACCTTCTGGGACACGGGGCACTAAGCGATGTCACAGGTGATGAGGATTTTCAGAACCAAGCAGTAATACTATTTAGCTTGGTTCACTTTCTTTTATTATATTCTCACTTATGCTGTTTAGACCTATTTCTCACATGTTATAGATGACTTAAATAAGATCAAGAGACATTCTGCCACCTAGTTGGTAGTAGAAGAAGGACAGGAACCTCTGACTACAAAGACCAGGTTCATTCAATTGTCACATTGCCCCCCCTAAAGCTGAGAGTTGATAGGGTAGAAGAGTTGCAAAGTCATAAGTTAAGTGACTTGAATATTCCTGGAAAATTTTTCACAAAAAACCTTGTAGTGCATTGAGGCTATCTCCTGTGTGAGATGCCCTTATCAATAACCTGGGAAATAAGAGAATGTGTAACTGGAACCAGAGTTAATATTGCTATGCATAATTGAACTCCTTGTTATGTCTCAGCCTCAACCTCACCCTTGTCCCCACCACATGTATATTGACAGCCGCTCTCCCACAAGACTGGGGAGCTGCTGGAGAACTCAGCTGGCAGGACGCAGTCTTGCTCATTGTTCCCCAGCTAACAACACTGTTTCTCAGCAGAATGATAGTAAATTCTCCTCTTAGCCTTAGGAAGCTGTGATGATTTCAGAAGGGTGCTTGAGCCTTGCTAGTGCAAAGGCACTCAGGAAAGGCTCAGAATGATACCTGTTAAAGGTCATCCTGTAGCTCAGCCAGAAAGGGAAGGACTCCATCTGTGTATCTGGGTGATGGAAGGGTGTATGCAATGGTGCAAGTAGGAGAAACCACAGGGCTAACAGGTCAGGTTTTCACTCCACCAGCAGACCAGACCAAACACCCACCTCTCTCCCCCAGGTTTACTGTTAACGCAGAGATAGGTCAGATACACTTCTTGTTTTCAAGTACTTCAGTGGAAATGAATGCACTTGTATGTGCACGAGATAGGTAACAGAGGGTATTGACTGTGGCGTGTGCTTTAAGGTGGAGCAGCATGTAACTCAGCCCACAGTCATTTCAGAAGATGATTACTCAGGGGGAACCCACTCATCAGTCTTTTACCTCCTAGGTCTGACACATGCTGTGGAACTCTTCCCTGGCACTGCTCAGGCAGCTTCAGTACCAGGAGAGTTCCTGAGCTGGGCACACGGCTGAGTTCCTGAAGACACGGAGAGTTCCAGGCAGGTATTGGAGCACCGGTGGATGTCATTACCAGGATTCAGCATGCAATGCTGCTTCCCAGAGATGGCACTGACACACCACTGGCCAGGGACAGTAGAGAGAAGCCTCTGTCAAGAAATGGCAGAGAGATGCCAGTGCCAAGATGCTATAGGAGGACTGGGACCTGATCTGCTCTAGAATATTTTCAGAGGGAGGCACATCTCAACATTGCAGAAACTCTACTGCATTTGCTGAGTTTCTCCACTAGGAGCAGAGGTCTCTGGAAGGCCCCAAGGAAGAAGGAAAGCTCTGAACTGCACTTTCCCTGAGAGAAAACGTCTCTCCGACCCAGCCATTGTGGATGCCTCAGGAACCCCTGAGGCCACATCAGAGCACGTATATTAGATGCATGGGCATGCAGCCATGTGCTTAAGATGGCATTGTGAAAGATGAGTGTTCTATAATTCCATTCTTCCAAGTTTGAAATTTCCTTATTTTTTAAATGGATTTTTTCTGCTTTTTAATAAAATAATGTGTTTATCTCATACTTTCTACTTTTGCCTGAGCCCTGGTAGGAGGCTGTTCAATTGACTCCAAACCCAAGGTTCTCCGACTTTGCCTCATCTGTGCACCCAAGAGACATGAAACAGCTCCTAAACACCACGGAGCCTCTTTGAAACTCAGGATCCACTCTCCACCCCCTTGGCTGACCCACAGGAACCCCACTCACCAGCTGCTCAGCCTCATTCTGTGGCTCCAGAACTCCCTGCTCTGCCATAGCACTGTGGTTTCAGATTAAGAAACCTTAGAGTTGTTCTCAAGGCTTCTCTCCCTCACTGAGGAGGATCCTTTTCCAGGATTCCTGCCTTTGAAAGACAGCATCGCCTGGGAGCAGGGATTCCCCACTGCTACACACTGAAATCTACCGCCTGAATTGTGCCTAAATCTGCTTCCCAAAAGAGCCTCCCTCATGCTCTGATGGATCTGATGGGTTCCCAGCTACTCTATCTTTTGTACAAACTGGTCCTTTGCACACTGAATGGCACCACTTTGATCACATCAACCTTTCTGTCAATCATAGCAGTCAACCTGGAGTTCCTGAGATGAACATGTTCCTGACATGAGCAGGCACTACTAGAGCCTCTGGATCCAGCTCCAGTTCCATTCCAGCCTAGGCTGCTCTACTCCCCTATCCCACACCTATGCTTTTTTAAAAAATTATTTTATTGATTTGATTGTGACAGTTTGAGAGAAGTTGAGAGACACAGAGGTCTTCCATATTCTGGTACTCTCCCCAGATGGCTAAAACAATGAGGTCTAGGCTAATTCAAAGCTTTCACTGGGAGTTTCCTTAGGGTTTCATATTTGGATTGCAGGGGACAAACATTAGGGAATCTTCACCTGCTTTTCCAAGGCCGTTAGCATGGAGTTGGTTCAGAAATGGAGTACCCTCGACATGAAACAGGTCCCATTTATGGGATGCCACTGCCATAAGTGGTAGCTTTAGCTGCTAACCCACAATGCTGGCCCCTTCATGTGAATTTAATAAAGATGTTAGTGCATACTGTGTGCCAGCCACAGTTTAAACCTGCACACATGTCCTTTTCTCGCCAGTCTTTTCTAAGTAAACACATTTTCCAACCACTATTTTCCAGAAATTAAGTGAATATCTAATTCTGTTGAATGTTTCAAAAAAATTTTTGCAGGCAACACACTGGAGTGCTGCTGTGGAGTAGGACTGTCATTGAAATTAATTAACTTCCACTCAAACATGTTCCAAGTGGCCATAACATGGCATTCATTCAATTACCAAGTGTCTAGATGTGGATGTTTTGAACAGAGGTTCTGGAATCACAGTACCTGAGTTCACATTCTTGTCCTGTCACACATAAACTTGTGACTTTCAGCTAACCTTTTAATATCCCTGAGATTAACAGTTGGTATCAGAAGTGATGTAATAGGAATACCACAACAGCGTTGGATACATGATATCATGTGACAGTCAGTATGATAGGGCTGGATGGGAGGATTTGTACAATTTTGAAAGAAATACAAGTAGTAACCAATAATATAGATAGAGTAGTAAACATTTGGCAATCCTATAAAAAACAGTTGCTATGTCAGGGAATAGAGAACTCTACATGTAGTCTTCTTGGAGAGGCAATCACAGGTTGAGGCAAAGCACATTAGGGCAAATATATGGGAGCCATATAAGTCAGTGCCTATACAACATAAGCAGTTAAGATCTTCAATAAATAGTACGTTGCAGTAACTCAAGGAAGGAGAAAAATAAGAGTATTTCAAACACAAAATTAGTAGGAGGAAGATACAAGACTGAGATTTTCCACATAAGGCAAATAAAATGACAAACCATTAAAGACTAATAAAGAAAACAGGCTAAATAAAATCATAGATGAAAAGGAATACATTATATCTAACCTTAGAGAAATGCAAGGGATTACCCCAAGTCTGATCCATAGCCTAACAGTTTCAAATGTTAAGTTTTCATTAGTATGTATCTGAATTGCGGAGATACAGAGAGATAGATCTTCCATTTGCTGATTAACACTGCAAATGCCTATAACAGCCAGGGCTTGGCCAGGTAAAAGCCAAGAACCATGAGCTCCTACTGGGTCTCCCACATGTCCAGGAGGATCTCAAGGACTTAGGGCACTGTGTGCTGCCTCCCAGGGCTCTAGGAGGAACCTGCATCAGAGGACTAAGGCAGGACTTGATCCCAGGCACTGTGATATGGAATGCTAATGTTCCTAGCGGCAGCTTTACATCTTCTGCCACAACCTCCAATACCAAGAGGAATATTTAAATGTACCTTGGAATAGATGTAGGCAATTTTCTTCCCCCAAAGTTCCATGAGGAGCTACCTAATTGTAAATTATTCTACAACTGAACCATGTATTTATCCCCCATGTATTTATCCCCCATCTTCTCACTGGAGATGGCAGGACAACAAACAGTGCTATGTCCTTACACACCATACCATGTCTATGCCAGCTGAGGCCAGCTGAGAAATACAAAGTCCATCCCTCCCTCAGGGACATACTTAGGCGACACATATTCTTACTCCCCATAAGAGCTTACATTTAGGAAATGGTAATCTTGTAAATTTAATTGGTGGGGATGGCAGATTCTGAAGAAAACAATCCCCACACCTGCCCTGTGACTGCCAGCTCCTCATCCGTATGTGTGTATCCGCCTGTGACACCTGACAGGACGTCCACCAGCTGAACACACTTAGAAAACCCCTGGATTCCAGAGGAAAGCTTTCCCCATGAGTACCTTTTGTTTGCGTTCTTCTGTGCAAAGCAGCCAGCGGACCTCTTAGTAGGGACTTGGGACTTGGGCCATCCTCCACTGCCCTCCTGGGCCACAGCAGAGAGCTGGACTGGAAGAGGAGCAACCAGGACAAGAACCCAGCGCCCATATGGGATGCCGGCACCGCAGGTGGAGGATTAACCAAGTTAGCCATGGCGCCGGCCCCCATATTTCTCTTTTGATTCTATTTATGTTTGTCACTTTCAAAAGGATTTACCTTTTAACTTGTAAGATATGCAGATCTTTTCATTATTGTTTCTAGTTTTTGATCACTATTTAAGAAAATCTTCACAGCAGTAGTTGAAATATAATCTTCTGTAGTTTTCCCTAGTGTTTGCTTCTAATCTTCCTTCCATCTGTCCTTTCACTCTTTCTAGCATGCGCTTTCTCTCTCTCTTTCTCACACACACACACACACACACATACATACACACACACACATTTGCGTTTTCCTGTTTTTGTGTATTTTGTGTGTGGTGTAAAGAGGGACACCCTGTTCCTCAGCTGACTTTGAAATTCATTAGCTCCAAGGCACCACAATTGTGCACACCCTGTATGTCTGCACTTACTGTCACTCTGATCACTTCCTGACCTTGGAGTAGTCCTATATTCACTGGGGATGTCCATCAGGACCCAGCTCAGGACTCTGAGAATCCCACAAAGTGACTTCCTGTTACTCAAAACCCCAGCAGGCAGACATGGGCTCTCCCCTTCCTGCTGTGTATGCAGCCTGGAGTGCCTCCTGTTCACAGAACTTATCATCCGATCCTCAGTGTGACCTGGTAGCTTGGAAGAAATACAGTCTTGAATTCAGATCAGAGGTCAACCTTTTTCTTTTTGTGAGATCTCCACCTCAGTCTCAATTTCTCATTTTTTAAAATATTTTCAACTCTACTTTCTTTTTAAAGATAATTTTGTTCATTTATTTGAGAGGCAGAGTCACATACAATAAGAATGGTCCTCTTTCTGCTTGTTCACTTCCCAATGGCCACAACTGCTGGAGCTGCGCCGAATCAACTTCAGGAGCAAGAACCTTTTCCATGACTCCCCTGAGGGTGCATGGGCCGAAGGACTTGGGCAATGTCCTGGTTTTCTCTGCCATTAGCAGACACCTGCATTGAACAGGAGCAGCTGGGACATGAACCAGTGGTCATATGGGATGTTGGCACTGCAGGTAGAGGATTAGCCTGCTACGCCATAGCACTAGTCCCCAATTTATCAATCATATAATGGGGATAAAAAGAGCATCTAAACAGCAAGGTTTGTTTTGAGGATTAAACAAAAAATGTATGGAAATTGAGCAGTACTATACCTAGATAACAGTTAGTGCTTAATAAATGCCTGTTATTGGTAAGATAATCTACAATATGTTGGGGCCACTGGTGTGATATCCATATCCTATATTGTTGTGTTGAGTTCAGGCCTCAACTCCACTTATTTCAAGGTTCCAACTGGTACTCACCTTTGAAAATTAGCAGGTGATGGCTTGGGTCTTTGGGTCCTGCCACTCAGGTGGGAACACCCACATTAAGTTCATAGCTCTCAACATTCTACAGGTTCATCTTGTGTATGTAGGCCTTTGAGTATGAAACTCCAGGAAGAGATCTCTCTTTCTGTATTTGTCCTACCTCAATAAAAATGAAGATAACTAAAATTAACATAAATATCAAGCATAATATAAAGTATAAACAGTGGTAAGGAAGGTAGTTAAATATTGGTCAGGAATTCAAATCAGCAAGAGGAATTAACACTTTTATCTATACAGGTGCTTTGAATTACAGCATACAATTAAGCAATCATTAACGCACATACAGGGATGACTTCAACAACTGTAGGTGGTGCTAAGATTCCAATTTAAGAAATGAACGCATCATTCATACAGAAAATGAACAAAGAAATGTCAGTGTTAAATTGTACCCTATTCAATGGGATCTAATATGCATCTATAGAAAATTTCTTCAAAAAACTGCAGAGTCTACATTCTCTTACAGCTCTTCTCCAGGATAGCATATGGTAGGTCAAAAAAACATGTGACACTTTGGAAACAATAGGAATCAGGCCAGTGCCATGGCTCACTAAGCTAATCCTCCACCTTGCGGCGCTGGCACCCTGGGTTCTAGTCCCGGTCAGGGCGCCAAATTCTGTCCTGGTTGCCGCTCTTCCAGGCCAGCTCTCTGCTGTGGCCAGGGAGTGCAGTGGAGGATGGCCCAAG